CGCCACCCCCAGCAGTAGGGGTAGTCCAGTCTCCATATCCCTTACCCTTTCCCACTGCCCCATAAGGGGGCTTGTCATTCTCTCCAAGGTGGGCAGCGGTGCCCGGAGAGGTGGCCGGCCACTCACTCCCCTGCTCCAGAGCCTCCCTGGGCCACTGCCCCTCTTCGGGGAGGGGGAGGGGTCTGAGGCTCACCCTGGATGGAGCTATGCAGTGGGCCACAAGCACTGCACACACACAGTGAGGCCGCAGCCCATGGTCAGGGTGTAGCGGAGAGAGATCTAGGTGCTCTCAAGCCCCAACCTGCCCCAAGGGGACAGGGCTGAGGCCCATGATCAGACTGCAGATGGCCTCAGGCTGAGGGCTCCGGACGCCCAGCAGACAGGAGTTAGGGCAGACTTGCCAGCCCCACAGTGCCTTCTCTGGACTGAGAAAGGTGGTCTCACATCCGAGTCAGGTGGGGTCTCCAGTCTCCCTGTGTCGACACCTCGGCCCATACTGAGAACACACCAGAGCCTCGTCCCCGCCACCAACCAGACCTCACTCTGCTCCAGGGCCTTTCTCCTCACGCCCAGCACAGCAGGCCCTGCCACCCCCGCCCCCACCCCCCATCCTCCCAGCTCGACCAGGTGGGAAAACCAGAGGAACCGGCTGCCCAGCCTGGGGATCTGCTTTCATCAAGATAGCCCCAAGAAAACACAGGGGCGCACATCTACATCATCAACTCCACAGCACCAGGGGTCTTCTTTGGGCCCGCCAGGGCAGAGGTGCGCCCAGGCCTGGGACAGAGGAGCCCTGGCTTTAAGCCCAGGCCTCCAAGGGCAGCAAGACTTGGGGCGCGCTTGAGCATGGCTGATAGGTCCGGGCTACAGGAAGTGGTGTGTGCTACCCAGGGCCTGGGGCTGGCTGGGCAGAGAGCTGTTCACTTAGGGCAGGTCAGACACTGGCCGTGGCGGGCAGCTTTCAAGGCCGGAAGTGCACGGGAGGGGAGGAAGCCTAAGTCATCTTGGTTACTGAGAAGCAAGGAGCTTCCTGAAAGGCAAGATTGGTCATGCTTCTCCCAGTGCTCCATACCCTCTGCTCCTGGGTGACAATCTCCTATCTGGGACTCTCAATACCCACAGCCCCCGGGGCTACCCCTCCAGGCGTCGTTAATACCTGCAAAGACTGGCTGCCCTTCCCCACGTGTGCCCCCTGGCTACCTGGGGACCAGACTGTCACCTTCTCAAACCAGACATGGCCCTACTCTGTTCCAGGAAGCCCTCTGTCATCTCCCTTTCTGCGGCCCCTCAGGTTAAGAAACCTGCCCTTGCCTGGATCCAGCCCCCCAGCACTGTCTCGGGGCCACATGTGACCATGGGCTGGGTGTGGGACTCCGTGAGTCCCCAGGACATCCCAACACAGCCTCGCCTGACCAGTGACAACAGCAAGGCTACAGAGAGGCACCTCAGAGACCAGAGGCTACCCACAGGGATGGTGCTGAGCTCCCTCATACTCCCCGTCCCTGGGTCCGTGCTTGGTGTGTGCTAGGTACTCAATTAACATTTGCCGTGAGTCGGAGAGGCAACAAGGCCCAGGATGCCCATCTGTCCCCCAACCCTGGGGTACCCATCTTCCCTGTCTCTGAGAGTCCAGGCAAGGAAGCCCAGCAAGGGTCTAAAAGCTGTGGGCTCTGGGTAACACCTAAGGAGAACAGCCCTGGGCCACCCACTCAGGAGAAAGGTGCTGGGGTGGGCAGCCACTTTACTTCCTGGCTCCTATCTGCTTCTGTAGGACTTGACCCCAGGTACCTCTCAGTGACCACCTTGCTGGACACTGTGGGATCTGTTTGTGTCACTCCCGGATGCAAGAGGCCAGCCGACCATGGGCTTCCCCACAGTGGGCTTGGGGGAAGGTAAGCAGCCCGTGACTGAAAGCCTTCCCTGACCCTCCTTTAAGTGGCCCTCTCAGAGCCCCTTAAGGACCCTGGGTGGCTCAAGCGGTTTGCGCTTGGCTGCTGACCTAGACGTTGGCAGCTTGACCACACCCAGTGGCATTGTGGAAGAAAGGCCCAGCAATCAGCTTCTGTAACGATTACAGCTGAGGGAGACCCACGGGACCCAGTCTGACTCTGAACACTTGGGGACGCCAAAGCATCAGGGTCAACCTCTCGGCAACAAGTTTGGTTTAAGTATTTTTGATCAGGACTCCACTCCGCCAACCTGGAAAATCACCTGATTCTGAAAACCAGCTCAGGCTCCTCCTGTGGTGACATCCAGACGTCCCTCATTCCTGAACACACGGACAGGCCACTCTCTCGGGCAGGGGGGCCCTCCCGATGGCACGTGCTCATTCACGCCCCACCTCCCCTGGACTGTGCTTTCTGAGGCTATCCCCCAGTAAGTGGGCCCCACAGGGCAGGGACAGGCGCTGCTTTGGGCTCCCTCTGCCTGGCACTAGTCCCTAGGTGGTACAAATGTTGCCACTCAACTACTAGCTCAAGAAGACAGTCAAATATTAGAAGGACATGTGCAAAGACCTAGAGTTAGAAAACGTAAAGGGCAGCACACGCCCCGGCAGAACTCAACAAACTCAAGAAAAAACCCTCAAGTGTCAAGATGCAGTATCAAAAGAGTCTATGGACAAAACAGGCAGCATCATGACAGACGGAGAGAAGATCGAAGCTGGCAAGGATTTCATCTTGCTTGGATCCACAATCAGTGCTCCGGGAAACCGCAGTCATGATGCACTACAACATTGGGTAAATCTGCTGCAAAAGATCTCTTAAAAGTGTTCTAAACAAAGACGTTACTTGGCGGACTAAGGTTCGGCTGACCCAAGCCATGGTCTTTTCAACTGCCTCAAATACAGGTGAAAGTTGGACAATGAATAAGGAAGAAAATCGATTTTGGAAGAAGCCTGGCCAGACTGCTCCTTAGACGCAAGGATTGGGAGGCGCGGCCTCACGCCCTGTGGACGTGTTATCGAAAGGAACGAGTTCCCGCGGAAGGCCATCACGGGGCGCGTTAGAAAGAGGAACTAGTCCCTGCGGAAGGACATCTCGCGTGGGAAAGTGCGGGGCAGCGGGGCAAAGAGCAAGGTGCTCGACTGTGGGAGCGGCGTCCCATTCCGTTGTGCGCAGGGTCGCCGAGTCGGAACGAACGCGACCCGAGCTGGGAACCGGGAGGTTCCAACCGGCCCAGCAAGGCCTCGGAAGGCAGGCCTGGCGATCTGCTTCGGACAGGTCTCAACCTCCAAACACCTGTGGGCCGGTTCCACGCTGCACACATGCCGAGAGACCGGCAGCTGACCCCAATGAGCAACAGCTGAGAGTCCTCGGGAGGGGCGCACGCTCTCCGCGTTCGGCTGCTAACGGAACGGTCAGTGGTTCAAGCCCACTGAGAGGCAGCTCGGAAGAAAGGCCTGGCGATTTACTTCTGGAAGCACCTTGCTTCCCTGCACACGCTGGGTCACCGGGAGGTGCAGCAGAGTCCACAGAGCCCGCCACTCGGTACCCGCCCCACAGAAAGCAGGTGGGCCAGTCGGGGCCACTCTGGGTGCGCTCTTGGGCGGGGGTGCCTCCGCCTCCGTGCCTCGGTTTCCCCCGAGGCACCCCGGGCACGTTCACCTCTCACCTCACGTCATCTCTGTACAGACTCAAGTGTCTGGTCACCTGGATGCCCCTTGCGCAATGCCTGCAAAGCGCTCCGAGAAGGCGGAACGGGCCCCGGGGCCCGGCGTCCCCGCCACGCCCCGCCACGCGGGCCCAGGGTCGGGGCTCTCGGCCCCTCAGAGCCGCAGGGCCTTCCCTCCCCAAGGTCTCTCCATGGAGGCCCGAGCCCCGGCCCGCATTTCGAGGCTGTGAGAGTCGCGCGGCCGCTGTCAGCCTGAGACCTAACACCAGGGCGAGGCTGCGGGCCCGAGGACCCTGCCCGGTCCCCTAGCACGGGTGCGGCCTGGGGGACCTCCTGGCCTCCCACGCGGGCCGGTTACCTAGCAGCGGGGTGGGGCCCCCGAGGGGCGAGGTCCCCGCAGTTGCTTGGCAACGAGACAGGTGGGGAGCCTGGAGTACCTTGCCCTTCAGGTCTAGCACGTAGACGGCGCTGGCGGACATGGCGGCAGCAGGAGGCCTTGGCCGTGGCCCCGGAGGCGGAGGTGGCGGCGGCGCGGCGGCGACGGCCGAGAGTCGAGCAAGGCCGACCGCGTCCCGCAACAGCCCGCCTCTACTTCCGGTCCGGGAGCCGCGCGCGGACCGTTATGTCCGGTCTGGGCGGGGCCGCCGGCACTGCGCAGGCGCGCGGCGGAGGGTACGCAGACGCAGTAGCCAGGTGCGACCCGTGTTTCCTGCCCCCACGTCCAGGATCTCGGGAGCCCGGGGTGAGTCACGTCTCCCGCCCCCGGGATTCCGGGGATCCGCCCTTTTAAGGGAGAGGTGCTCAGATTCCAGTTTAGGTGCTGAGAGAGAGATGCTAAGAGAGATGCCGAGACCTTAGGGAGCTGCAGTTTAGTGGGGACGTCTAGGAAGCTCCGTTGGGAGGGGCGGGGTAGCAATTACCTGGGCAGGGGTTAACCTCCCACGGAGTGCCTCCCGCCGGTGTCAAACAGGGAAAGTGAACAAGCATGATTTTTCTGTTGACTTCCTGGATTGAAGACCACGCCCCTGCTGAACACGACGAATCCATTGTTTTTGGTTGTTGTTAAAACTGTTAAAAACATAGGATTTGCCATTTCAAGTTGTACGTTTCCTTCCATGACTGCTCATGGAAGCAGCAGCCAAGAGATCAAACGATGCATTAGGTCAACCTGCTGCACAAGACCTCTTGGAAGTGTTGAAAAGCCAGGATGTTGGAGGGCTAAGGTGCGCCCAGCACAAGCCAGGGTATTTTCAATTGCCTACTATTCATGTGAAAGTTGGACGTAGGGGGGTGGGTTACTGCTACCAGCTGCTCCCTGGGATGACTCCTGTAGTTGTAATTTCGGAAACCCACAAGGGCAGTTCTAACTACCCTGTCCTGTAGGGTCGCTAGGAGTCAGTATCCACTTGATGACAGTTTGTCTTTTTTAAGTAGTTTGCAGACAGCTTCAGCTTTCCCCTGCGGGGTGACAAGTAGGTTTAAACCCACAACCTTCCGGGTAACAATTCAGCGCTTACCCTGCAGTGCTACCATTTGTCTAAAATTTTCTACCACCTTTAGTGGGAGAAAGATGGGGTTTTCTCCTGGAAAGTTAGTCTTGGGAACCCACAGAGGCTGTTCTACCCTGTTTTCTAGGGTGACTATGGAATTGGCAGAGAGTTAACCTAAGGCTCAGTGCTCCTTAACAAGTCTCTCCTTCCAAAAGAATGGAAGGATGGTACAGGACCGGGCAGTGTTTCCTTCTGCTGCACTCAGAGTTGCACTCAGTAAGACCACCAAAGTTGCCACGAGTTGATTCAGGCTCATGATGATCCCGGTGCATGAAGGACAGAATTGCTGTCATAAGAATGGCTCTGTGAGATTTTCTTGGCTGGTGGCACAAGTGGTTAAGCAGTTGACTGCTAACCCTAAGGTTGGCCCGCTGAACCGACCCAGCAGGAGAAAGGTGTGGTGACATGCTTCCATACCAACGACGCACACCCTACAGAGGGAGGGAGCCCTCTCGGTAAGGCAGGGGGTCTGCAGCAGGAGCTGGAATGGGCACCAGGACACCTAGCAACTTTCTCCCCGGAAGCAGAAGGCAGGGCTTGCTTTCTTGGGGGGCCCGGCCAGGTGGTTTTGAACCGCCAATAGTTCGGTCAGCAGCTGAGCACCAACTGCTTGCATGACTCACCGGGGACCTTGTATCAGTCGGAGGTTAAGCACATGCTTCACATGTGATCGATTCCAGAGGCAGCCTGCCCAGTGGAAACCAAACTTTTACCACGCAGACACGCACACGCCTGTTTCATAATCATGTAACTTTATTCTGCAGTTGACACACAAAAGGCTTCGAGTTCAGCACTTGCTTTGTACCTCTTCTTTTGCTACCTTTCCCAGAGCTGCCTCACAGAAGCACCTCCAGTAGAGTACACAGGTTGCACCTCACCCAATAAACACAGGCCCCGAGACCCTTACCCCCATTGCCAGTCACGGGGGCCTCCCTTTTTTTGTGGGGGGGGGGGGCGCTCCCATTTGATTACACTTGTCTGCCTGCTAGGGTTCAGCACTGGCCCTGTCACCGCAACAGGCTCTTCCTGGTCCTGTGCCAGAATAACTCTGCTTAACTACTTGGGGACTGCTAGGGGCCCGGGGTGAGTGGTGAGTCAGGTGGTTTCTGGGCTCCACCAGTGACAGCTATGCCTGATCAGGAATGCCTGCACGGCAGCCACGGTGACATCCATTAGAAATATCTGGAATGGGGAAACTGGGACACGAGTGGCAAACTAGTTATGGGCTCAGAAAGGGACCAGGTGGGATGCTCCATCCTTCCCATAGGCATCTGTCCTGTCAGGCAGGAGGGCTGTCGAGGTGGTAGCTGTGAATGGCTTCCCAGGTCCTGGATGGGGCAGCTTAAGCCCCAAGCTAATGGGAGTCCGTTTTATCTTAGCACAGAGAGCTGGCTGTCTTCAGAGGTTTAAATGCAACTCGGAGAACTAACTATTCTTACGTGGCACTTACAGGGAAACGGGAGCCTCTAGCTACACCTGCCGGGCTTTTGAGTCCACACTCAAATGGTGCTATCTTCTGTGGGCCACTGAGAAACCAGGATCGAGTGAGAGGACAGTCTTATTTTAATCAAAGTCCAGAAGGAGCAGACAGTCTCACGCACAGGCACAGGTACGAGAATGCTTCTGGAAAATGCCAAAGGGACCAGGCTCAACCCCAGCTCTGGGTCCTGCTTCTCCTGGAGGCCACGCCAAACCCAGGGGCTGAGTGGCTACTTGGTCCAGCTGACTTTGGGGATGTCATAGTGCTCCGTGAGCGTGTCCAGGTGTCTGTTGAAGTCCTGGGAAAGTGGAGAAGAAACCCCTTCTCAGCACGGACCCACACATGGCTTGAGGGCTCATGACCTTGCCCACCCCACCTTCCCCAGTCTATCTCTTCGACAGGGGACCCTCCTCTCTCCCCAAGCCCAGCCTGATCCTCTACATGTCTGCACCCTGGGCTCTCCCTTGAATGACCCAGGAAAGGCTCTGTCATGGTTAATCTGGTGTCAAAGTGGAGATACTGGTACCCAGCTGTTTAGTCCAGCACTCGTCTGGACACTCAGTGGCAGAACTCCTGCCTTCCATGTGGCAGTCTTGGGTTCCAGTACAGGCAAATACCCCTCGGGCACAGCTACCACCTGTCTGTCTGTCTGTCTGTGGAGGCTTCTGTGTGGCTCTAGATGCTAAAAAGCTTTCAGCAGAGCTTCCAGACTAAAAGGGATTTGGAAGAAAGGCCTGGTGATCTAGTTGTGAAAATGGGGATGCCACAGGGCTGAACAGTGGTTGGCTCTGGTTGCATGGGGGGGACTGACTCAGTGACCGTCAACAAGGGTTTAAACCAGGGGGCCTTGTGCAGGTCACCCTCTGCAATCTGGGTGGGCAGCAACCAAGCGGTTGAAGGCCCTAAGAACAAAACTGGAGGCCTCCCAAGGGAGGAGAGGCTGCCCCCCAGCTATCAATAAATAGCCTGCCGATTTGGGGACACAAGGCAGGACAAGTTTCAGCCTATCTCCTGCCATCTGAATGTTGAATTTCCCAGTGCCTTCAACCAAAGTGTCATGCGCCAGGTCTTGAAAATAATTTTCTCTAAGAGGGGAACTTCAAAAAGTTCATGGCACAAAAAAATCCCAGTATCTTTAAATCCCATTTTCCCACGAGAGAGAGAGAGAGGGAGGAACACGCACACATTTCATTCGGTGGGGCTGTTAGCTGCCAGTGGGTCAGACGGAACGCCTGACTGCTGAGGGTTATGGATGGGACTGCTGTCATCTTTGGGCCTTTCACAGACTGAGGCTCAGCGACGGATCACCAGGCCTTTCTTCCTAGTTCAGCTTAGAATAGAAATACACATGCCAGGGGCTTCAAAGATTTCACAGAAAAAAATGGAATCTTTCCAGAGATAATAGAATTCTCCTGCAAACTTTTTGACACTCCTGGTATTGTATTACTGGTTCTGTTCCCTAGAGAACCCTGGGGGCCCTGGTGGTGTCGTGGTTAAGCCGTTGGGCTGTGATCCCAATGGTCGGCAGTTCACAGGACAAGGACTGGGCTTTTGAAAAAAGTTAGTCTGGGAAATCCATGGGAGGTTACCGTGAATCAGCATGAATCAGCAACCTCCCTGCTAGCTCTCAGGGAACCCTCTGCCCGCCCACTCACTGACATAAACTGACCTCCACTCTCTGCTTGTGGGTTTTAGACGCTTTCTTCAGGATCCTTTCCATTTGCTGAAAGAGATGAGAAGGGGTGGGAGGTGAGTTCACAGGCTTGACGCAGCCCTCGTTGGGACAGGGCGGGGACGGGGACAGACAGCCCCACTCCACTGCCAGGAATGGCCGGCGGTCTCGGGCTGCACAAGCCCTCCTCCATCACCAATTGGGCTGGTCTGACATGAAGACACACATTACTGGGCACTCAAGCCAGTGGTCCCAGGTGAGGGCTCCATACAAGCTGAGCATCCCACCCCCACCCCAGGGGGCATACTCAGCACCAAAGGGTGCCGCTTGCCCCTCCCTGCCTACTGCTCCCTCCCAGGCTCCCTTGCAGTTTCTCCTCTGCAAACCTCTAGTCAAGAATGCCACAAAGCTCGGCTCTTGAACCCAACACCCCTTCTCTGCCCGTGCCCCTCGGAGGGTCCCAGCCAGTGTCACGACTCTCCCCAAACGGCCAGTGCACAGACCACGCTCCACACTCAGGATCTGATTTCAAATTTGTATTTCCAACAGGCCTCCCAACTCACTCCTCGGAAAAGCGGATGCTGCCAGTCTCTGCTGTCCACGGTTCTTCCCGGCCCCATAGACGGCACCTTCCCTCAGCTGGTGTCCCACCCATGCAGCCTGGCTGCCCCTCCTTTCCCTCGGCCCCAGCTCAGAGCCAACCCGCCAGCTGATCCTGCCCTTCTTCGCTATGGATCCTGTACCTTCCACCAGCCCAGCTGCTGTTTCTGCCCTCCCCCAGGGTCCCACCCCCAGGGCTCAGAGGCATCCCAGCCCTGCTGAGTGTAACCTGAGGTGAGGGGCTGACCCTTATTCACCTGCCAGTCCGCAGTAGGACCTCAGGAGGTAGAGTGTTAGTCCTACTTTAGAGATGAGGAAACAGTGCCGGTGGGTTAGCTGGCTTGCCCACAGTTACTTCTCTAACAGGCTGAGGAGACAGGGTGAGAACCGAGGACTGTCTTGCCAGCGCTGGTGTGACTGAATTAGGCCTACGTTAGGCCTACGACTAACGAACTACTGGACTGGCTTGCCTCAGCTTCAGCACAAATGACATTTGGTTGCAGATCAGTCTGTGGAGTGGTAGGGCACCAAGCAGCATGGCTGGCCTCTACCCACGAGATTCCAGCAGCACCCCCTGCCCCAGTGTGACTACACCGACGGGCCTCAGGTATCATCAGTGTCGCCTGGAGGCAGAAGTGCACTGGATGAGCAACCTTGAATTCAGGGATCCCACTGAGCGCCAGGAATGAAGTTACATCGACCGAAAGGAATAGTGAAGTAAAAGACCTGAACAGAAAAATGTGAAGGGCAGCCTAAGAACATACGTCATAATGAAATGTGCTAAGACCTAGAGTTAGAAATCCTTCAGTTCTTTCTCCAGCTGAACGAACTGAAGAAGAGATTCAAGCCTTGAGCTGCACTGTTGACGGATTCTATGGGTAAAACATTAACCCATAAAGGGAGGTTTGAAATATGGACGGACTACAGAGTCACTGTACCAAAAAGCAGTAGATGTTCAACCATTTTAGGAGGAAGTATATGATCAATTTGGAAGGAAGAAGACTAAGATGCTGTAGAAAAAACAAAGTTCCGGGAATTGCTAAGGCTGCCAATTGGAATGTTTCAACAAACCAATACAGCGCCGGAGGGACTTTCTCATCTGCCAAGAAATTTTGAAGATGGCCACCTGGCCAAATATTCATATTTGTGCTTATGCCAAGGAAAGGTGACCCAAAAGAATGTGGAAATTACTGAACATCACACCAAGTAAAAATGTGCTGAATTATGTCTGCAGCAGTATATCAACAGGGAGCTGAAAGGATTTCAAGCTGGATTCAGACAGACAGCAAATGGATCTTGGTGAAAAGCAGAGAATAGCAGACAGATGTTTACTTGTGTCTCATTGCATATTTGACTGTGTGGATCATCACAAACTACGGATCACATTGAGAAGAACGAGATTCCAGAACAGTTAGTTGTGCTCATGCAGAAACTGTACACAGACCAAGAGGCAGTTGTTTGAACAGAACCAGGGGACATTCGGTGGTTTAAAATCGACCAAGGTATGTGTCAGGGCTGTGTCCTTGCACCATACTCATCAGGATTGGAAGAAGACTCACTCACAACCTGCAATATTCAGATAGCACAACCAGACTTGCTGAAAGCACAGAGAACCGGAAACAATTACTGATCAAGATAAAAGCCTTCTGTACGGATGACAAGTTGATTGAAAGCACGGGGGTGGGGGGTGGGTGGAATCATAACTGGACCAATGGACAACATCATGCTCAACAGAAAATAATGACATTGTGAAGACTTTCATTTTATTTGGATCCACAGCCAATGCCTATGGTAGCAACAGTCAAGACACCACCAATGTACTGCAACGAGCAGATCTGCTGCACAGCACCTCTTTACAGTTTTAAATAGAAGATGTCACTTTGAGGGGTGCCTGCCCCAAGTACCTCCTATGCATGTGAAAACAGGAAAATGAATAAGAAAAACTGAAGAAGTGATACATTTTGAATTATGATGTTGATGAAGAAATATCGAAGATACCCTATAGGCTGCCAGAAGCATCAACCAATCTGTGTGGGAAGCAGCTCTCCTTAGAAGAAGGGTGAGAGACTTTGTCTCACCTACTGTGGACACGTCAGTGGGCCAGACCCGTCCCTGGAGGAGGAGACTATGCTTGGTATGTAGAGGGTCAACTAAAAAGCGGAAGACCCTCAACAAGACTGACTGACAAAATGACCGCCACAGTGCGATCAAACAGGCCTGACTGAGGATGGCGCAGGGCTGGGCGTGTTACGGTCTCCTGTACACAGGGTCCCTGCGGGTCGCAACCAACTCACTGGCACCTAACAGCAGCCGCTCCTGTACAAGACACTGAGATGCTGCAGATATTTAAATTCACACATGAGGAGGGGCTGTGTGTGCGAGTCCCAGAGGTGTGCGGATCCCCTAGGTCTGTTTCAACGAAGGCACCAGGAATGTATTCTGCCCCGTGCTGAGAACAGGGGTTTCTCCCTTGTTTTTTCAACACAAGGCTTTTCTACCACAAACAACACTGTTGGCATTTGGTTCTGGATCATTCTCTGAATGGGGTCATCTTGTGCACAGGATGCTGTCCAGCATTCCTGACTTCTCCCAACAGACAAGACACCAAGAGCCCCCCCACCACACCCCCAGCTGTGACAACTTTCTCCAGACATCAAGGGTATGTCCCGGAGGCTGAATCCCCCCTGGTTGACCTAGGCGGAACAGTCCTTTCCCCCAACATAACCAGCCTGCTCGAAGTGACTCACCTCTTTTGGCCACTCCCCACCCTCCAAACTGAGGCTTAAAGGGCCGTAAAACGCAACACGTTTGAACCTGGATAGCAAATCACTTGTGCAAACAGCACGTGGTGACTTAACGGCAGTGAACGTGCCCACCGGGCACTGGACTTGTGTCCAGGAGAAGGCCCTACGGTGCCTCTATCCATGAGGAAACAGGCACAGGGAGAAAGCCACTGGTCCGGCGGCTCAGCGACGGTGCTGGGATCCCAGCCCGGTGTCTACCTCTGGCTGGCCCTTCCGTGGTCCACTCGGACCGGTGGGGCCTCCGTTGCTGGAGCGCCCTCACAAAGTAGCCCCTCTCCAGAATCGGGGGTCTTCTCGGTCCGGGCCGGACTCCTAGCCCGGCTTCCGTGCCCCGCCCGCCTTACCCGCTTCTCCTGCATCTTCTCGAAGGCCACCTGGGCCGGGGTCCGCTTGTCCAGGCCGCGTCGCTTCTCCTCCTCGTTCTTTTTGTTCGTTCCCATCGCTTCCAGAAGTTTCGCCTTGTCTTTGTCCTTTTTCTTCTTCCTGGGGCCGGGAGTAGGGATGCGGGCAGGTTAGGGCGCAACAGCCGGAATCCCGGGGGAAAGCCACAGGGGGACAAGGGATCGGGTCCAATGGGCCTCACCGTTTAGTTACGCCGAGCTCTGCGACGCCTTTCAACTTCAGGGGTCCCTTCTGGACCTGCTCGTAGGCCGCCATGGGAGCTACCCGAACCCAGGAGGGGAACTGCCACACTTCCTGTTTGCCACTCTATTTCCGCCTCGCTTCTTCTTGATTGGCGGAGCGCGAAGTCTCGCGTGCGCTCCCGAAGTCTCGCGGAGCCCCGCGTCCGGGTTGTGAGCCAGCCGGAAGTTGCGCGTGCACACGTCCTGAGTTTCCGGTGCCTTGCCACACTTCCGGTTTGGGCTCATCTTCCGCGGTTTTGGCGTCAAAGGGTGGCTCCGTCTTAGACCTTGGAAGGCGATTTGGCCCAAACCTGTAGCGCATATTTGGATCCCCTTTCTCTGTTCTGCATTTTGAGACTTCGTTGGATGCTGCCCTCTATAAAAACGAATACAGAACCCCTCACTGCCATCAAATAAATTCTAACTCTTAGTGACTGTGTACGACTGCCCCTGTGGGTGTCCCAGCTTTCTCCTCGTTCTCCCTCAGAGCAGCTGGCGGATTCGAACTGCTAACTTTGAAGTTAGCCGCCTAACGTATAACCACTATGCCACTCGGTGGTGTTAGGTGCCATCGGGTCCTTTCTGACTCACGGCGCCCTTATATACTATGTCCCAAAACAGCTCATTCGTTGGATAACCCGACTTCATGTTTTAGAACAATTTTATTAGCGCATCATTCACATCATACAATTCTAGTTCAATATGAAGACTTGTGCAATCATCACCACTCAATTTTAGAATACTTTCTTCTTTCATTTGTTATTAGCTCCCCATTTCCCCCCAACTTCCCCGGCCATACCCCCAAGAAACCATAGTTACTGCCTCTAGATTTACCTATCTTGGAATTCATATGTAGAGAAACACTCCAACAATAATAACAAAGTAATACAGAATTTTCTATCAGAAAGCAGAAAATATTAAAAATTAGAACAAATTTAAATGGGTCAAAAGGGAGATCAAATGATAAGGTGTAAAATTTTACCCTAACTGCATCTTCAAAAATCCACATTGTTCTATTTTTTTCCCTTAAATAATTTTTTTGGTTTTGTCAGGTATTTAAATGTTTACATTAATGTTTTTAAATGTTTGCAATCTAGTTTTTTTAAAAATACTTTTATTGGGGGCTTTTACATCTCTTATCACAATCCATATATTCATCCAGTGTGTCAAGCACATTTGCACATATGCCACCATAATCATTTTCAAAGCACCAATGATCCACTGTCTAATGCACTCTGTGTGATAGCAAGATTATTATTCATGGCCCTAGTCAGAGGGGATCACCAGAGACTTAATCCACATGCATTTTCCCCGTCACTTTTTTTTTTAACGGAAACAACTTTGAGTCAAAAGGGAGACAAAATTTATAAGATACTACATTTTAACCTAACTACGTCTGCCACCATCAACTTTGCAATGCTCTCTGTTTGATTAGGCTATTCACATCCCTCAACTACAGTCAGAGAGGATTCACCAGAGGCTTAATCTATGTGTGAATCCTGAGAATGGATTTTACCCTTCCACTGTCATCCATAGCCTTCTGCAAATGGGATGTTCACAATTTAAACTCTGATACCATTCCCTCTGTGGTAGTTACATAATCTGGTATCAATTTGGGACTTGAGAGGATTAAGAGAGAAAGGGTGGAGTCCAGTCTGTCAATAGGGTCATAGCCAATGAGGCCTGTGTGTGGGCATGGCCTCCTCCTGAGGATTCTGGGAAATCCTGTATTTCCTCCTTGGAGGCTGGAGGCACTTTCTCTCTCTGATCACTCCCTGTCAGACATTTCTGAGGCGAAGCCACATGGACCTACCTTGAAGCAGCCAGAGCCCTGGACCTGGAGAAGCCACGTGGAGACCCCTGCCAGCGCTGAGATGCTTACACCGCCACTGGATCCACAAGACCAGCCCCCAGTAAAATGATTTTAAAAAAAAAGAAGAAAAAGATGAGGCCTTCAAGGAAAGGGATTAACACCATAACCAACGGGCGGAAGCACAGGTGTGATCACGAGCACAGCTCTGTGGTGGACAGGTCACTTGCACAACATTGAGTCAGACCCCAATCAATAGCCCCTAAAAACAACAACAGCAGGTGGACAACAAACCGCAATACATGAACTCTTAGCCTGTACAGATTAGATTCTCAAGTGATGGACACTGTTTACACACAAACAATGGGGGTTGGGAAAGGGCAGAAGTTCCAATAATACTCATTCGCATCTGCAGAACCATGCCTACCAGACTATTCCATGTCATCATAATGCAGAAGAGGCATTAAAATAGTAAGTCTACGGTCGTCCCGGGCCACCATTCATTGGGCACCCTCAAGGCAAGAGATCCAAAAGTTCAGCGACCTCCAGTTCTATAGCCTTGGGGTAGCCATCCCCTGCTTCGTCATTTCACACTAGCGCGTTTGTTTCAGACTTAAGTACAAGAGCTGCGGGTGCATTTCAGACTTAAGTACAAGAGCTGCGGGTGAATTTCAGACTTAAGTACAAGAGCTGCGGGTGAATTTGAGATAAAGCCCAGTTCACTTTGTGGCATTTCCACACCGAGTTAGATTTAATCTTGCAAACTTTATCACTGATTCTTTTGGTAAATTACAAGATTATGCTAAATAAATGTTGGGCATAATTGAGAAGCTTTTTTCAGGTGAACTTATTGAGGTGCGGTTTACAGAGAGTAAAACACACTGTTTAACGTAGCCTTTCAGGAGGGTTCTCACAGGTGCCCATCTCTGTAACAGCCTCCACAATCAAGCTACAGAATCTTCCCACCACTCCCCAAGTTCCCTGTGTCCTCTCCCACTTACTGCCCCATCTTCCACCCCAGGGAACCGCTGAGCTGGTCTGTGTCTGCCACCACTCGTTAGACTTACCAGAGACTCGAAGAACCCCAAGACTGTCACGCTGAGATGCTTTAAACTTGGAACGGAAACAGTCCCCAGAGGTCAGCTAAAGAGCAGTTTTAATCATCAACAATATTACCAGCTCTTCCAAAACATAATTGGTTATGAGACCAAATGGTCAACATTTACCCGAAAGCCAACTTGAGAAGGTGATCAGAGGCAGGGATGCTAGACACATGGAAACAAAACCGCAAGGATGGAAATAAGCAGTGAGGTGACACATGGAAGCCGTGTCATGGAACAGTATGCACCTGGTGCTTGTTCGCCACCTCAGAGCCTGTTCCAACTAATAGTGATGCTGCACAGCTAACAGTGTGAAACACTGCCCGGTCCTGTGCCAGCCTCCCAATGATCGATAATGTTTGAGTCCATTGTTGCAACCACTGTCTCAACCAATTTCATTATACTAACATGGCGACAATACAAGGGGTTACCCAGAAAGACTGGAAAAATGCTCCACTGGGCGGAGCATTGGTAGCACACATTTTTGCTGCTAGGCCAGTATCCAGCAACTCACTCTGGGTTAGTGCACCCAGTGGCGTTGCCTGGGAAGGTTCTCTGTGGTCACAGTGAATTTTTTCGTAAAAGCAGTTTCATTTGAAACTCATTTTTTTGTGATGACTGATTTAATAGACCAGCGTGTGGCTGTGAAGTTTTGTTTCCCCGCTCAGGAAAAATGCAGCAGAAACTGTTAGGATATTGAATGCGGTTTACAAGACAGCATTGTGGGAAGCACTCAAGTGTACAAGTGGTTTTCTCATTTCAAAAACGGTGAAATGTTGATGGATGACAAACCTCGTTCTGGATGTCCGTCAGCTTCCCAGCGGACGCAAATGTTGACAAAATTTGTGCACTTGTGCTTAAAGACCAACGACGAAGACGACGGACCATTGAAAAGACGGCGAAATTATCTGGACTCTCTTGGAGTTCAGTGAATTTTAACAGAAGATTTGGGAATGAGAAGGGTTGCTATGAAATTTGTGCCTCAGGTTCTGACTGACCAGGAAAAAGAGCGTTGAGTAGAAACATGCTTTTCTTCGAAGGGACCCAGACTTTTTCCCCCAAGTGGGGAGGAGATGCCAGTCCCCCACAACTAATTGCGGGTTCAGTAGGCGCACTTGTATGGTTAAAATATATATAAAGATTATAATAAAGACACAGAGAGCATGAGAGATAAAAAAGATTGAAATAATGGAGTCAGACTCATTTCATAGTAGCATGCTCACCTCAGCCCTGCTTGGTGGTCCCCGTGGAAATGGGAGGGAGGGCAGGAGAGAGGGGAGGGGAAGGAGGACAAAGGAAAGGGAAGAGGGAAGGAGAGGGAGCCAAGGAGAAGCCAAGGGGAATGTTTATTGCTAACCCAGGCATATACACCTTTGGGGGGGGCCATGCAAGCCCACCAATTACAGGTAAAGACATACGTCGCAGGAAAGGGTTGCACTATAGGTTATCCAGCAATGAGAGGGGGACAATGTAGGGATATACATGCAATAGGAAGAGGAGGGATTGGGATATACATAGGACTAAAAAGGGCGGATCCTAGATTCAGGATGGCAGCCTAACTTTGGATGTCACTGAGCAGGTTTGATCTGTTCTCTGGATCTCCATAGAAACTATTATTAGTAGGGTGTAAACCCCACCTACAGGGACCAGGCTAATGGCCGCAAGCCTTTAGGGAAAAGTAGCCCATTGTCCTTAACAGCAGGGAGTGGGCCCTACCTGTCTTGGGACCAGACAGTAGTCTGGCAACTGACTGCCTTCAGGGAAGTAGCTTGACAATCATTTACCATTAGCTGCAAGTAGCATCCTAAGTCTAACACATATTTAGGGGAAACTTGGGAGAAATCTTTCTGTTTCCCACACCCAAGGTCATTACTAGTGAAGATACCTGGTGCTATTCTTATGACCCCCAAAACAAACACCCATCAAGCCAGTGGAAGATGCCATCCTCATCACCTCGCCCCCCAAAAGCACACCAAGTGAAATCAAAGATCAAGACGATGCTCATTTGTTTTTTTGATGTGAGGGGGATAGTGCATTTGGAGTTCGTTCCACCAGGTCAGGCTGTTGATCAAGTTTTCTATTTAGAGATTCTGAAAAGAATGAGTAACCGTGTGCGACAAAAAAAAGCCTGATTTGTGGCAGACAGGGGACTGT